AGAACTTGAGAACATATACATGATCAGCAGGGTTTCAAGGTTATAGACTTTTGCACATCCATCGTGGATGTGGCGTAGAACAAAATTCTTTTTTGTCTGAGAAGTGTGCATGCTCAATCATGCCTGGCTGTTTAATCCGGGTTACCTGCCTTCCATTTCCTAGCCGAAGGAGCGTGTGATCTCGTCAGGTGGTAGAGATCTGGGAAGCTGCCAACGTCTCGGACGGTTGCTACGTCTGCTCTTCGTTACGTCTCGCTTTTCGCTACAGCAAGTGCCACCGTTGCTACGCCAATTCTGAGGTGATTACATTTATTTTCTTCCCTTTGTTGGTCACACACCAAGCAGAAGTCACTGTGAGACTGAACTGGCCGCAGAGTAGACTGCTGTAACGAAGATCTTTGTTTCTACCTGCATGCACTGCATGAATGTCCTTGGTGACCTCACTGAGCTCAATGTGCGAGGTCTTCATCGCCTATGCAGCGGACATTGGATGGATCGGCTCCAGTGAAACGTCCAGGTCTTAGACCTTCTAACAAGAAGCTACGTTCGGGGCTCCTGGCGTTACTAGGACCCAGGAACAAGAAGCTATTCATTTGGTTCATAGATTTTAGGGACACTTAAAGCTTTGGTGACGGATGAAACATGTTCTCTAAGGGTCAAAATGGGCCGTGGCGCTGTCATTACGGCGGATATGACTTCAGAGGACACGACCACACGGGGACGGGGATTCATCCGACTCGGAGGGGTCGTGATTTGTGTCAAAGCACCAGTGTCGGGACTCAAAGGGCGGGGGGTCGCTTGTGTAGCGCGTTTTGGGTCGCTTGTGCGTCGCGTTTTGGGTCGCTTGTGCGTCGACTACTACTACTACTACTGCTACTGCTACTGCTACTGCTACTGCTGCTGCTACTACTACTACTACTACTACTCCGAGACGAGTACAGTGCCTTGCCTAGCGCCTTGCATCGCAATGCGCGTTGACAGACAGACCTCGAGAAGCACTCAGAGAAACTACCTGCGGCCTTGTCGTTTTTCTTGAGCTCAGACACCCCTATATATATATATATTTGTCTTTCTTTGTCTATATATATATATGTCTCTCTCTCTATATATGTATCTACCTACATCGAAGAGGTCGGGTATATGAATGATCCCTGATTCTCTGCAGGTTCTTCTTCCATGCTGTTGGATTCCACCTTGGTTCCAGTTCTATGATACTCTTAGACAATGCGTACTGCCAACATTTGTGGCTCTTGGTGCACTTTGTGCGACGCATGCTCTTGCTAGTCTGTCAGCCGATCCATGTTGACACCCCACCCCACCCCACCCACCCGGAGGTAAGATGTGATGATGTGGCCGCGTGGGCCAATCATTCCATTAGATCCCCACCCACCCCACCCCCCCACCCCGCCCGGATGTAAGATGTGATGATGTGGCCGCGTGGGCCAAATTGAGATCATTAACAATTCCCACATCTCACCATCATTTCCCATCGATGCGCAAGTGACCCGCTGGGTCGATGCGGTCGATGCGTAAGTGACTCTCCGATGCGCAAGTGACCCCCGATGCGCAAGTGACCCATTTTGCGATGCGCAAGTGACCCTCCTGCCGGACTCAAAGCAAGTGATTTGTGATCTGTTCAACTTCAGGTTCTTCTTGATCTTCGGATCTTTTTTCAGGAACTCAAAGATTTAGAGTTGGACATTCGAAAAAGACATGGCCAGAGGCTCAGTTGGATTTCTGCGCAGGAAGGGTGGCTAGAATTTGGTGCACCGACGACCACTGGTCTTCAGTGTGTTGGGTTGTACACACTGGACGTCACCACCTTGTTTTTGCAATCCTTGCTTTCTACCGGACAGCTGAAGACACAAGAAATAGTTCCCAGAAGCACAAAAAACAAATCGAAGAACCTGATCCTTCCTGCGGCTGTCTGTTGCCTGGTAGCTACTTAGCTACTACGTTTTGTGTGCAAGGCTGCTTGCTTTTTCTTACCCCTCAACGGCCTACCCTCCCTCGAAAAAAAGACACTGACAGGAATGAATAAAGGAAGACAGGTCTAAAGAAAGAAAAGAAACGATCATGACAGAAAGGAACTAACATCCAGTTTCTGCAAGGGTTCCGCAATCCGTTTCTCACGCTTGAGGTCAAAACCTCACGCGAGAGCAAGTGTTGCAAGCCCAGCACAGTCAACGTGCAGTCGCGAGTGTGTTTGTGTCAAGCAAACTTGAAATCTGTCTACAGGATGCGTGTCTACAAGTCATTGTCAAAGCATTGGGTGTGACATTGTGTTACGTCGGTACGTCTGTACGTCTGTCAGTCGTGCTTGGCTCAGGGCCCAGATCATGGAGATTGAATGTGCAGAGCCAGCGAGTTGGATTCTTTGAAATCTTTCTCGCGAGCGTTCAGAGACGCGCGTTCAGCGAATGCTTGAACTTGCTTCAATACACCAATAGCCTCTACATCCTTTTTTTGAGTTCTTGACGGTTGGCAGGATTTTTTTGCTGGTGTGTTCCATGCTATATCATGCACTTGAGGCAAAGCGACATATCGCGGCAGACGAAAGCATCACTCGAAGAAAGTTACAGGTGCAGCTGTGGCTCTCAAAGTCAAATCTTCCCCCTAGTAGCGTCCTTGCTCCTAGTAGTAAGGCCAGGAGCCCCTAGTAGCTTC